TCGTTATATTGTCGTTGCGCGGATTTCGTACACGGTAAAAAAAAAACTGCGCAATAAAATGTAATGATATTGTACTATCATAAATTACAGAATACACAGAGGCTGGTCCGTTATTAATGTCTCTGTTTTGAACTCTCTATTTCCAATATAAAAAAATTTAAGTAGATTTTCATTCATTTAGCGACTTCGTGCACAATAATTTTTGTATCTGTGTAAAAAATCGAAATTCTTGTGAAATAGTACCTTATTTTTATTTTGGCGCGATATCACGTCTTTTATAGTGAAAAATACTTAATAATACATATTGACTCTTTGCATTGTTTTCCATTTCCAATATTATAAAATTTAAATACGTCTTTACCCACTTGGTAATTTTTTATAATTTTTTTATGATTACCTCTGTCTTGTCGTTTTATATATATTGATTATATACATTATCTGTATCTTATATTTTAATATATGTATATACATATATAAATTATTCTTTACACGCAACCGTTTATTTCCGGTGATATAATTTACAATTACAAACAGTCCGCGACGTTCTATATTAATACAATAAATTAATAAATTAATTTGTATTATTGGCAAAAAGGTTGATTTTCCGTTTCTTTCGCCATTGTTCAATGTAATTAATCGCAGTGAGGGACCGGGAGTCTTAATGTCAAATGTGCACGCTTGGCTGCCTCGACGATCTGTATCCCCATTACCGTAGCACAATTTCAACAGGATAATCTCGTAGAATATAAAGATGGTAAAAGAAGATCTCACCTTCGAGACGTTCGTATAATCTTCAGCAGGTGTTCCGTAATATCGAAATTGCCGTTGCATTATACGGGCGCTCTCTTGCCCACCCTTAGATCTTCAATCAATAGATTCCAAAATTCGCATAATCATCTCTTCTAATCTCTTTCGAAACCTACCTGATATTACGAAGAATCCTCAGACTTTCGACGGCTCTCAAGGCTGACGGGATTATCGAAAAAGAGCCTGACTATTAATACGCCGCCGATATTTAATGCGATATCGATTGCGGATTCAAAGTTCTCCCGTGCGTCGCTTGTGACCTATATAATGTATGATAATAATGGTAACGGACAAAGAAAGAGAGAGCAGAAGAAGCGAAAATATGCAAGATAAAAAGAGGGAGAGAGAGAGAGAGAGATTCCGGGGAGCCCTGAAGAATTTGTGTGTCCTTGGCCGATATGTCGTATTTACATATATCGCATGGCGATTACAAAATCTTCTGTCATCCGTACGAAAAATCACACCTATGACAGTTGTCGGATCTCGATGGTTCTTGAA